GCGCACACCAGCGTGAGACCAGCGTGAGACCGGATCAACAGCCCTCACCGCCGCGTGCACACGCGCCTCCTCTGGATCAGATATTCCTGTGTAACAAACATATTTGTGTTTTATCACTGTTCCCTTCGACACCAACACGTGAAAGTTTGATTCAGTCCGCAACAGTTTGTGTGTGCGTTTATGTGTTTGTGTGCGTGTGTGTGTGTATGGATGTGTGTCTGTGTGTGTGCTTGGTCTAGAAATGTGTAGTGTTAGGACCGTGAGTTCACGTGCTCGCCTCCTGTGCTCGTGCTCTCATTATCAGTCCCGCGGTGGCAGTCTTTCTCTGTAATGATGTGTTTATTCTCTTCAGCTGCAGCGGCTCTCGGACATTACGTCTCCTTTAGGCCCAGTTTACACGGAGACAATGCAGCAGTAAAACACTATAGTTGGATTTCGGTTGCTGCCCCGGTCATACAAAGACTGTGATCCAGGGGGGTGAAAACGTAAGTGTTCAGATCCATCCTGCAGAGTGGGACAGCTCAGATACGCTGCTCAGCGGGGGCTCTCTTTCACACTCTTTCTGCCTACTACTGTCTGGGCGCTATAACTACATCGTTTTTGATCCTCGTGAACGCTGTGAAATTTGCATTAGGAGCCCGGTTGTTTCTGGCTGAGTTTACACGGAGACAATGTGGCAGTAAAACGGTATAGTTGGATGTCGGTTGCTACCAACCGTTCATACGAAGACTGTGTTCCAGGGGGGTGAAAACGTAAGTGTTCAGATCCAGCCTGCAGAGTGGGACAACTCAGAAACGCTGCACAGCGGGGAGCTTTTTCACACCCGCGAGAGGGGAATAGGTGTGAAATCCCCCTCTGCTCTGACCCCCGCCTCCGCGCTGCTCCCCGCACGTAAATTTGGACATGAACTCAATGTAAATTAAAACAGCGCGACCTCAGCTGACAGAGAACCTACAGCTTTAATAAAGGTCGGATTTTGTGGGGATTTTAGTGTCTCTTGTCATCCTGAACTTTTTTTCTTCTTAAGTCCTTCGGTTTTCTTTAAATCCACACTTTAGTGCCACAAACTCTGCTTGTTTCCTTTCCGCTCTGACTCCGTCTGGCTCCCGCTCTAACTCCCGCTCTGATGAACGGCTCTGATTGGTCAGAGCGCAGCCGAGCCCCTCTGTGCACGTGCGTGAGCCCCACATGTGTATCATACAGTTAAAACACAAAAAAATATATAACACATGGTATCGGACTATAGGGAGAGACCAATGTCCATGAGGTATGTGCACTTTATTTATCCCTGTAGGGCAAACACTGTCTCTCTGCATTTGACCCATCCTGATGCCACTAAGGCTTACATCAGGAGCAGTGGTGGCTGTAGTAACAGCGCCCGAAAACCCATCTGCAGATGTTGCTGCTCGGCTTGGTCAGGACTATCAGAGCTGGAGGATTTTACCAAGCCCCGGCGATCCAAGATGGCGCCCTATTCAAATGAATGGTTGTGCTCAGTGGCGCTTTGTGACGGCATGGGGGCTGAAAGATTAGCGGAAGTCGCCTGGAACTCGCAAAGATCTATGGGAAACTCGCCTGTATTTGGGCATCGTCTGGTCCTCCCGGTTCTGTGCAGTGGATGATCTCCCATAATGCCTTGCGCCAAACACGCGTGTGTGGGTCTCACACCAGGTCTCACGCACGTGCACCGAGGGGCTCGGCTGCGCTCTGACCAATCAGAGCAGTTCATCAGAGCGGGAGTTAGAGCGAGAGCCAGAGGAGCAGAGTTTGTGGCACTAAAGTGTGGATTTAAACAAAACCGAAGGATTTAAGAAGAAAAAAAGTTCAGGATGACAAGGGACACTAAAATCCCCACAAAATCCGACCTTTATGAAAGTAGGTTCTCTGTCAGCTGAGGTTGAGCTGTTTTAATTTGCATTGAGTCCTATGGGGAAAGTTTCTGGGTAGCCCACGTGAATTTAGTCTGGTTTAGTCTGCAGTACCGCGAGAATCCCCTGAGCACATGAGTTATTCAGCTACAAGCTAGTAATACCCTATCCAGTTAATATAATAGATCCATGGATTTTACCTAGTGTGCATGTTTTTAGTGTTAGCGGAGACCGGAAAGCTACGCAGGCATGGGGAAAACATATAAACTCCACCCTGTTCCGACCGGGATTTGAACCCAGGATCTTCTTGCTGAGAATCGAGAGTGCTAGTGTCCTAGATCATCACCACAGTCCTTCTTCTTTGACACTAACAAACCCTCCTGCATCGGCAAGGAAAAACTCTAAAACCCAGTGGGAGAAAAGTGAGAAACCTCGGGAGGTCCACATTAAGAGAGGGATCTGCTCCATACGGACGAACAGGCTTTAGATCCAGGACCTAAGCCACAGAACGAGGACCAAGGCCACGCAGTGGTTGTAGAACGAGGACAGGTCCGGAGCAGGACTGAAGCAGCTCCCAGGCGGGTCTGCAGGTGTAGATGGTGGGGGCCGGGAAATTGCTGACATGTTTGCAGATGTGGAAGTGCTGTTTAATAATAAAATAAACGTCTAACATTTTTAGAATGTGCATCCAGTGTGCGTGGAAACTAGCGTCCAGCGTCGGCGGTCTGAACGGCCCATTATGATGACGCTGGAACGCAGTTTCCATGCACACTGGATGCTCATTCTCAACCTTTTAGACGGGTGTTCAGACCTTCTGGCCTGCGGTGGTGCCCGGCGGAAGTGTCGAAAGTGCTTTGATGCTCACGGAGTTAAGCTAGCGACTTTTTGTATTGTCTTCGCCAAGAATGCAGCTCTGCAGCGTCTCAGTGTCCGGAGACCTTCCAGAGACTTTATATAACAGTAGTATGTGTTCACGGAGCTACGCCATGAGTTTATTTTATTATTAAACAGTACTTCCGCATCTGCAAACACGTTAGCTGCACTTGTTTAGAGTCACGGGAGAATGAAAAGTCAGGCTGGAGGCATATGTTCACAAGCACTGTGTCCCCCATTGTCAATCCTGGTTTAGTCCTGGTTTCAGAATCAGAATTAATGTATTGCCATTTGTAGAAAAAACTAAATTGAAATACAAACAGGAGACACCGGGGGCACCAACACATCAAAGCACACACACACAGACAAAAAGGCTAAAAATAGCGAGACAAGACACAGTGAGGCTGTGCTACGGCGACCACTGCTCCTGACGTAAGCCTTAGCAGCATCAGGATGGGTCAAATGCAGAGGATGAATTTCCCTACGGGGATCAATAAAGTGCACCTTTACCTTACATACTGGTTTAGCTCCTGTTTTGGCTGTTTACGAGTTTTTTGAATCTTCTCACTGTGTCCCTGTGTCCGTGGAAAAAGTTAAGAAATGCTTAACTCCTGCCTGCGTCGATTTTACGCCTCTGCCGCTTCTCTACTGCGCAGTCCGTGCGTGCCGCGACGCACATGCGGTTCCACGCTCGACCGAAAGTCACCATTGACTTTGCATTGAAAATCCCTGCAATGAATGTTCTGGTCTGAACGCCCCATGAGTGGGACATTGAGTTTACCGCTTCAACCTGTTCATCACTAATATTAGGAGTGGTTTCCTCCATTGTCGAGGATGGAAGTGAGACTGGTGTTTTAGGCCTGATGATAAAATTATATACACAATACATTAAAATTACATCAATGTACACAAAACAGAAATATATAATAAAATATGTATTAGAATTACATTTATTTCAAAATAAAAAAACTAGTTAGAATTAAATTTGAATCAAAATCTTTAAAAATTAAATGAATAATGAATATATCATAAATACATTTACATAATATTAAATTAAATTAAAATGTATCATAACATGCACACGCAACTTCAGAGTGCTGTCCTTTAAACTGTTTATTATGTTTTTGATGTTTCACAATTCTTGTAATTTTTAGTATTTTTTATTATAGATAATTATTCTCCTTCATTTGTTTATTCTTATTTTTCTTAATCACATTTAGTTCAGTACTACATAAACATTGGACTCAAATGCATTTACAATGAATTGTATTGTATTTTATGTAAAATAGTGCACATTATTGAAATTACAGTGTAAATGTCAGATATAGCGACGGGTAGAATAGAGTAGAGTTTTTTGTTTTCTAAACACTCTGTTTATTGGCTTTTCCCTCTTCACATTCTACAGGTTCTCTGCAAGGATTCTTATCTTGTTCTAGCAATTTTCTTATTCCACACTAATTCTGAAATTATTGTATCAAGTTCTTTGGAAAAATTACTCATTCAAATGAAAAGGAATGCACTGGACTAAAAAGAAGAATCTTGGCAGTATTTTCATTATGTTAGAATTGTTTACATGACTGTTTTTGACAGAGCTTAAGCTGTTTTGTTTAGAGGAAAGGGCAAGATCAGAATGAAACAAGGTTGATAATTACTGGAAAAGCACCCGTTCCATCTTCGAGTCCAAAATGTGTTCACGAGGCCATGCGCCGACTTCCGTCCAAATCCTGCCGTGACTTTTTTGTTGCACACAGACAAACAGACGGACGCGGGTAATCACTGTACCTCCCGGGGAAGGAGGCGACACTGTTCATGATCCACTAGGGGGTGCTGCTCACCCACAAACTGACACTGTGTGGACTAACACGAGTCCAGGGAGAAACACAACTGCAGATCATATATTGGTTTCTTGTGATAAACGCAAACCCGGCGATTACAACTGAAATTTAGAAGTTAAGCTAAGTCCGACCATTGTGTGTGTGCGTGTATGCGCGCGTGCGTGGGCGCATTATATTCCACGTTTTATAATAAACATTTACAGATGAACACAGTGACAGACCATGATGCTGTAGTTCCACTTCCGCCCTGAAGGGCCGCGTTTGACGCTGTGTCCTGGACCTCGCGTCAACTCCGGCCGGAAAAGGCGTAGCGTGACCCGGCTAGAGTCTCCCCATTCCCCGTTCTGCCCCCAGTCCCGTAACGCGTGTTTTTACCTCCTCATTGTACCATTTTCCCCTCAATTTGAGCCTCTAAACCCCGCAGATGGGAGTCCCTGCCTTTTTCCGCTGGCTCAGCAGAAAGTACCCGTCCATCGTTGTGCACTGCGTGGAGGAGAAGGTGAGCTGCAGCCGCTGTAGCATGTTAGCATCACGGGCGAGCGTTAGCATCGACTGGTGTTTTAAATAAGCGACTCTGCTACTTTAGTTATTAATGTTTGTGCGTCTAAATAACCCATACAATCCAACCTCGCTGTTTGGACTATATACAATATGTTTTAAACAAATATTGGATAGGAGTCATTTAGCATCGTTAGCACATTAGCAAACAACTAGAAGCGCCACATTTCAGTTGTGGAGTATTTACAGTTTATGGCTGTAATAGTTTATTAAGTGTTTTAATTCACGTGCACATGTTTCTGTTTCTGCTTCACGTGGAGGTGTGGAGCAGTCTACAGGTTTTACTTTTAGAAAGACATCACTGAGTATTTTCTGATGCGCCACTCGAGCCGTTGGATTGAACTGAACATTGTTTGTTTTGATCCGTGAACACGTGGCCTCATGCACAGTTCCGTGACTACTTTCTCAAAAAAGGAGAATTCATGGATTTAAAAAATGAAACATTGCTGGTAAATTGTGCTAATAGAAAGATTTCTAAGTGTGATTGTGAATGGCTGGGTCCATCACGGTATGTTATACTTGGTTCATAATTTTGATAAAATTGCGATAACTTAAACGATTGTGTTTATCAACATGTTGCTTATAGTTGGAAGCATTAAGTCTTACACTATGGTGTCGTTCCAATCCTTTCTGTTACATGAATTACACATGCATTGATTTACATTGATGTGAAGTGTGATTCTAAATAAGTAGAGTAGTAGGTTCAGGACTGTTAGCGTCTCTGCTGCAGATACAGGACGTGTTAGCGTTTGAGTCTCTCTGCTGCTTGTTAAGAGCATGCTGTTCTCAGGGGAAGGAGTACAATGGCGTCCGCATCCCTGTGGACACTACGCGACCAAATCCAAACGAAGTGGAGTTTGACAACCTGTACCTGGACATGAATGGTATCATCCACCCCTGCACTCACCCAGAGGACAAGTAAGCGATGACATCATGATAAACACATTTAAAACATTCAGAGGACAAGACTCATTCAACACTACTCAAGTCCAACACTGCTCCTCCAAATAACAGTAGGGCTAAAACCAGGGTTGTCCTGGTGCAACTAAAGATTTGGGACGGATAAGTGCACTGTCATAGCTAGTTTCCCAGTGATGTATTACTTTAATCCATTCAGGCTGGTAACGCATTCTCGCATTTTGACCTCTCATGTCGGGTTCGGACATGTCTTTTTTTTTTTTGACCAATGAAATGCATCAGGATACTAGGGATGTGAATTTTCAGCATATCTGTAATTTCCAACTTTTTCTTGCTGAATATGTAATTAATGTGAAATGTGTGACTACGGACAGCTGTCGCTGCTTTGTAACGGCAGCCGCATTGACAACAGCTCAGTGAATGCACAGCCGTAACGTGGTACAGAGCGCGGACCATTGACGCGCGTTCAGAACCATCCCCAACTTATTGCAAGTGTGAGTCTTCCCTATGTCTTCTACTAAAGTGCAGCCAAAACTTGCTTTGACTTTCTGGGCTGAGAGTGGATTTTTTTCCCACACACTTACTGCCACTTTATTGCCAAACTTTTGTTTATATTTAGAATTATCAGGGTAAGTAACTTTTGACATTTTGGCAAGCAAAATATAAAAGGTACCTGCTAAAACCCCTTGTGGTGCCCCCTGTACGTTAACATTTCACTTCTGTGTGCTGCAGTTGAAAGGTAGAAATGTGGGAATGCGTTCCCGGCTTCAATGGGTTAAGCAGTTTTTAGCTCCATCCACACTTCCCGCCACCCTTCTGTCTAAATGCTCAGTTTTCAGTTTGGGAACCACTGCCTTAGACTGTGATGTCATGGGCAGAGCTGTGCTGACAGTTGATCAGTACCTTGTTGGGTTTCCATCTAAATCATGTGTTTAACTGTCTGTGTCTCAGACCGGCTCCAAAGAACGAGGACGAGATGATGGTGGCCATCTTTGAGTACATAGACCGTCTGTTCAACATTGTGCGGCCCAGAAGAGTGCTCTACATGGCCATTGACGGAGTGGTACGTGGCTCTCTCCCAAACCCAGGCACAAAGCATTGGCCACTAGAGGCTGATTCTTACTGGGTCAGAATTTGAACTTGACCAAAGTCCTGTTTCTTGATTAAACCTGTTTGTCCTGAAGGCCCCACGAGCCAAGATGAACCAGCAGAGATCCAGGAGGTTCAGAGCGTCGAAGGAGGGAGTGGAGCTGACCGAGGAGAAGAACCGCATGAGGGAGGAGGTGATCCAGAGAGGTAGGAGCTCAGACCTGACTGAAGACACAGGACCTGCACCCTGGACCTTGGCTTGGGCCTGGGCCGACTGTAAAACTACATGTTTGTGTTTCTAGGTGGATATCTTCCCCCAGAGGAAGTCAAAGAGCGCTTCGACAGTAACTGCATCACTCCGGTGAGTCACCCTAATCCTATGGAGGCTGCTGCCTCCTCAGCTCCCCCTGCTCAGGTCTCTCTCCCTGCTCAGTTTTGCTGTTGTATTTCAGGGCACAGAGTTTATGGATAACCTCGCTCAGTGTCTGCGTTACTACGTGGCCGACCGACTCAGTAACGACCCAGGCTGGAAGAACGTCACGGTGACATAAAAACACACGTACAGAGACAAGCTCACACACAGGTCCTGACCGCTGTCCTCTTGTGGCCCAGGTCTTGCTGTCAGATGCCAGTGTTCCAGGAGAAGGAGAGCATAAGATCATGGACTACATCCGCAGACAGAGAGGTAAGGCCAATCCCCTGTGATCCAAGATGGTGTTCTACTCAAATCAATGGCTTGTGCTCAGTGGCGCCCCACCACGGGCACCGAAAGATTAGCGGAGCCCACCCATATTTTGGCATCGTCTGGTCCTCCTGGTTTATGGGTAGTGGACTTGTTCCCACAATGCTTTGCTCCAAATACATGTGTGTCTCTCATGGACGACAAGTGACACTAAAATCCCACAAAATTTGATCTTTATGAAAGCTGTAGGTTCTTTGTCAGCTGTGGTCCTGCTGTTCTAGTTTACAATCTGTTCTATGGGACATTTTTCTGGGTAACGTGATTTATCCAGTGCATAACACCCCCCGTATGCACTATATGTAAAATCTTTCAACTTTGGTAGCCCTGACCAAGAGCGTCAACATCTGGAGAGGCTTCCCTGTAGCTGTCCTACATTGTAGGATGGGTGAAATGCAAGGAACACATTTGCTACAGTAGGGCTGTGCCAAATATCTATTGATCAAAAGATTCAACTTTGTACAAAAGTCTCAAGACACCAATGTTCCATAGACTGCCTCGTCGTACCCTGCAGAGACGATAACCTACCTTAACCCTTAACCTTAAATATTTGAAAACTATTATATTTTCATTTAGAAACTGCTCTGCTTGCCCTCCAACTTTTCCATACCCATGCACTGTGTTGTTACTCCTTTGTTCACTAGATGAACATTTTGCTCTTTTAAAATCAGAAATAACCTGTTCATGTGTTTGCAGCTCAACCGAACCACGACCCCAACACTCACCACTGTCTGTGCGGCGCCGACGGTAAGTGACCCAAGCTCTGTTTACTTAGAGACACACGCTCACATTCAACCCTAACCCTGTTACTATGGAGACAGACCCTTACGTTCAACTCTGACCCCCACTCACGTAACCATCGAGACCCACTGACCCTCTGGTGCTGTTACCATGGAGACACACTGACCCTGTGCTCCTCTGCAGCTGACCTCATCATGCTGGGACTGGCCACACATGAACCAAACTTCACCATAATCAGAGAAGAGTTCAAACCCAACAAACCACGACCCTGCGCCCTCTGCGGACAGATGGGACACGAGCTGAAAGAGTGCACGGGGGCGGCCCGAGAGAAGCAGGGAGAGGTCACTATACTGCTGATGCTGCTGAAACTACTAATACTCATGTTCATAAACTAGGGCTGCAACAATGAATCAATAAAATCAATAAAAATCGATCATTAATAGTGTTGGCAACAAATTTCATTATCGATTCGTTGTGTTGCGTGATTAATACATCGCGGAGCTCACGTGAGTTGGGCGCCTCTCTTGTACAGCTGTGTTCAGATGATGCATGCACGTGCGTAGATGGAGGACGCGCTTTCACTAAATATCAGCTGCATGAGTTTAGTCAGGCTGAACTGCTGCTGTACTTTCCAGCATTGGGGAAAATTGCAAAACGGAAGTGGTGGGCGGGCTTTATGCTAACGCTGGTACTTCCTCATTAGTGAACACGTTAGCAACACTTATTTACAGTCGCAGTAGAATGTCAACTCAGGGTGAAAACATATCTTCACAAGCACCGCGTCCTCCATTGCTTTCTGATTGATTGCTGCACGTGTGTATCATTAGTTGCAGCCCTATAATAAACACTATTGTAAATCTGTTAAAATCCTCCATTAAAAGCCTCGGTCCCCTGTGGTCCTGAGAGGAACCATGGAGGTCAGACGCCCCTGTGCTGTTGCGGCTGCAGATTTTCATTCCAACCTAAGGAGCAGCACACCAGGCCCACCCATTTAGTCAAGTCTTCAAGTTGGGCTCATTGAGGAAATGGGTGGAGTCTGGTGTGCTCCTTCTTAGTTGGAATGAAAACCTGGAGCCACAGCGGCCCTTTGAGGAGCGTCTGACCCCCACTAGTGTAAGAGCACTGAAACGAACAGAGTATGGAGCCTTGTCGGACCCCTCAGGTGATAGCACTCAGTCTGAGGCGGGAGCAGATCAGTGAAGGCCGTCAGGGGCCAAGGTGGTGGAAGAGGAGGTGTAATAGTTTTTTTTCTGTTTCAGCACGATGAGTTTGCCAACACGATGCCCGTGTCGGAGCAGGAGTTCATCTTTATCCGGTTGTGTGTTCTCAGAGAGGTGTGTGTCTTCTAATTCAAGCTACGAGAGTCATTACAATCAAATCAAAGCAAATCACAAACACTGAAATTATTCAAGTCGTTAGTGAGAAAACTGACAGAATATAAAATGCTGCTTAAATGAAACAGAAGACGACTCATCATCATTAAGCACAGCTGTATTCTGTTTTGTAACAATGGGAAAGAAACCTGCAGTCTTAACTCTCCCTCACTCCGCTCTCTCTCCCTCAGTACCTGACGCGGGAGCTCACCATGTCCAGCCTACCGTTCCCCTTTGACTTCGAACGGTCTGTGGACGACTGGGTTTTCATGTGTTTCTTTGTGGGGAACGATTTCCTGCCACATCTGCCCTCACTGGAAATCAGGTCACACACACACACATCTGACACACACCTGCTACATATCTGCAAGACACACATCCACGGTCTACACACACAACCACTGTCTACACACACACACACACATCCACCTGCTACACACACACACACATCCACAGTCTACACGCAGACATCCACCTGCTACACACACACGTCTGCTCCACATAAACCTGCTACACACACATCTGCTGTTCCATGCATATAATACACGCTCAGTCTGACATTCATTGAGTTAGCGGATTAGCATTGTTCATCTGTAAACAGTCTGTTCTGTGATAATTGCTGACTGCAGTACTGGTGTCTCCACAGAGAGGGCGCCATTGACCGACTGGTGGGAATCTACAAAGACGTGGTGCACAAGACTGGGGTGAGAAGCTGCAGCTGTGCTTTAGAGCACACAGGTGTAATGTAAGGAACACAGATGCAATGTGTTGCCATGGTTACAGGGGTACCTGACACAGAATGGTTTTGTGAACCTGGAGCGCGTTGAGCTGATCATGCAGGCGGTGGGCGTGGCCGAGGACAACATCTTCAGGAAGCGCAAAGATGACGATGTAAGAGCTCTTAATGTGACCTGTGCGGTCTCGTGACCTGTGTGGGTGTGTGACCTGTCTCGCCGTGTCTTAGCGTTAGCATGTGTTAGCTTGTGCGCAGCTGTTCACGTGTCTATTTTCTGTAGGAGAGTTTCAAGAGAAGAATGAAGGACAAGAAGAAGAGGATGAAGGTGAGTGTCAAGTGTGATCTGGATTGAGTCTTGTCCTGGTAACGTAAAGGCCACTATAATCTGGATTAATCGTTCAGTTGTCTATAGCTTATACCTGTTGTTACCTGGCCCTAGGCGATTACTAAAGATATATACATGGCCACAAGAGGCCAGCCAAATCTGTGCCATGACACCTGGATTTACCAGGATCACAGAGTGCTAACCAATGTTTAATCCCAATATTGCTCACCAATATTACCTCACATGAAAGTGACCTCACATGAAAGTGACCTCACATGTAAGTGACCTCACATGTAAGTGACCTCACATGAAAGTGACCTCACATGTAAGTGACCTCACATGAAAGTGACCTCACATGTAAGTGACCTCACATGTAAGTGACCTCACATGTAAGTGACCTCACATGTAAGTGACCTCACATGTAAGTGACCTCACATGTAAGTGACCTCACATGTAAGTGACCTCACATGAAAGTGACCTCACATGTAAGTGACCTCACATGAAAGTGACCTCACATGTAAGTGACCTCACATGTAAGTGACCTCACTTGTGAGTCGATGAAGCCAAAGGAGCAATACGTAGATAGTTGTGTCGGTGTTGTCCTTACCATGTCTCTCTCTCCAGGCCGAGCAGCAGCGTCCCTCCTTCCTCTCCTCTGGACAGTTCGCTCCTCAGGCTCTGGGACGAGGAGGTCGTCCTGAGCCGGTCCACAACGCCCGTCACCAGGCCTTCAACATGAGGGTGCAGAACATGGTGAGACTCGTGTTTGTCTGACTTTGTTGGAAAGATCCATCTTCAAGCATTTCTCCTATAATGCTCTGGAGGACGCAAGAGGAACTGAATAAAACTTAAGATAACTTATGTTTTATTTTTTTAACTATATTGTTGGAGGCTTTGTCAGATTATCCATTATTCTTTTAGCAAGAATGTTATTGATGCTAATTCTGATTTATTAATGTTTTGATGCTTTTACACCTGGATTATCTGAATGTAAACGTTTGGTTCCAGGACGCAGCACAATCCCTGAAGGCCATGATGAAGAATGGAGGGAATGTAAGTTCTGAATGTGTATGTGTTTCTCTGTGGGTCCCCTGGTGCATTGTGGGTAACTCTGGTCTGGTTGCAGTCCGCTGGTCCGTCTGCAGACAGAGGAATGAAGAGGAAGGCTGAGGACAGCGACAGTGAGCCCGAGCCAGAGGACAACGTCAGGTGAACCTCCTTTATATCTCTAGAAAGATCATCATTAAAGTTGTAGTGTGTAACTTTGGTTTCATAAATAACAAATACCGATACTTTTAGCTGGAATAAGTCAAATGATTTCAACAAATCAGACCTCAGTTCTTTTGTGTCACAAAAAATCCTGTGAGTCACTATTTTCCTCTATTACACTTTTCTGTCTGGAAAAAACAAAGACAAATACATGAAAGTAACAGTTTTAGAGCCAGAACTAGATTTGTGGGTTTGATACAGGGTTCTATTAGTCTGAAAGTTACAGACCACAGCTTTAAACATTTACGGATGGAGCTTACATCAGCTGCAGCATGTGACATATGAGAAAAGTGAGTCTGGCTGAGGGGCCCCACAGGGATGCGCATTGGGTCCATTGATATTTTCATGAGGAACAGTGAAACGACTTCTGTTCTGGCTCCGGTTTTCTGTCTTTTTTCATTACTGTATAGCTCTCCCTGACTTCTCCTTTCCCTCCTTCCTGGAGTTTTGCCACAGACAACTTTAACAAGAATGGAAATGATTAACTGGTCCCTCAACGCAATTGATTCTATCTTTTCAACACGTAAGCGTGGGTCTGGAGAGCCCGTGTGCCCGGACGGGACTTCACCAGCGGGGTATACTCTTGACAGCTGGAACAAGTTTCAGCCCCTCTGTCTGTCGACCCTGTCCATTGAAGATTCGGAAGATGTATATATCTTTGGCATTTTGGTGGTGGGAATCCTCCTGTTTGGGCTTGGAGTGATCCTCTTCTACCACAAATTCGGAGGCATGGCAGTTCGCAAGATTCACGACCTGCTGACCGTCAAAATTGATGGGATGTACAAGGAGCTTAGCCGCGTCGTGGTTGAGAGCGCCGTGTCTGGACAAAGGAGAGTGGTTTTGGTGGAACAGTTGATAAAAGATCTCGCAGCTCGTTCACTCGATGGACATAAAACTCTGGAGTTGAGATTGAATGACATCGTTTGCCAGGCTTGAACTCTCTGACCCGGCTTGGATTTGCCCCTGTGTACGGGGTCTGAGGGCGCCGCAATTCGGTTTAATTGGATTTAATAGAATATCTGCCTGACATTGCATTTAATATTGTCCCCCTGAGGCGATGTGTTTTTCTCCTCCTGTGCCTTCTCTCCACTCTTATCTCACATTCCTCGGGCCAAGGCCATAATAACAAGGTCCCATCTACAACAACTCACACTATTTCAGTCTCCAGCTTGGATCCCCTACCCCCGCCTCCCTCGATCCATCTTGCTCCCTCCCTCCCTTCCACTCCTCACTGTGTTTCCGACTCACCCCCTCCCTGACCCCGCCCCCCTCTGACAGCCACATTGGGCCGGCTGTAGGAGGTGCTTCATCCCGAGAAAAAATCCGTGCTTTATACAAAGCACAAATGTGTCTATCCAACTGTCTGTGAAACTGTATGTTATTGCTCTCTGCTGTTTATTCTACTGTTTGTCGCATGGCGCCGTAAAGATGGCGCCGTGGCAAGAGCTCTGGTGTGTGTCGTCTTCTCTGTCTGGTGCACACCGGGGTAGTCTTGCACAGTTTTCCAATGTGGTTTTACTGCAAATGGCAAATAAATTATTCTGATTCTGATCTCAGACTGTGGGAGGACGGTTGGAAACAGAGATACTACAAAACCAAATTTGACGTTGACGCAACAGACGATGAGTTCAAGAAGAAAGTGGTGAAGTCATACGTGGAGGGGCTCTGCTGGGTGCTGCGCTACTACTACCAGGTAACTGCAAACGCTACTACTACCAGGTAACTGCAAACGCTACTAATACCAGGTAACTGCTAATGCTACTACTACTATTACCAGGTAACTGCTAATGCTACTACTACTATTACCAGGTAGCTTCTAATGCTAACATTACCGCTAATACTTCATGACAAACCCCTGATGTTTAATACTGGAGTTGTGTGTTGAAGCGTATTCAGTCTCTGAGACAGTGACACCAATCCATGCATTTGGACTGTAGTCCCTGCGCTGACTCCAGGGGTCTGCAGAGAACACAGATGTGACATCACCCTCTGACACGCTGACCCTGTAGACATGTGCGGTGCTCCAAAAACAATGAAGCTGTAAGAGATCTGAAAATCTCTTTTTTGGGAATTGTCTCATCTAAAACAGTGCTTTTTGAGTCTCTATGAGGAGAAATGCTGGAACTCTCCCCTCTCTCCTTCCTCGTCCTCATAACTGTTGCGGCATTGGCCTTGAAGGAGCCTGAAGGTTGTGGGTTCGAGCCCACCACAAGTCTTTCTCCACGAGACCCACAAATGTCTGCTGTTGTGGGCTTGGGCAAGACACTTCACCCCACTTTGCCTATTTGTGGCCATACTTGCATGAAAAAGCCAGATCCCGTCAAACCTCTGAAGCTGTGCAGGGCAGGGCCTGGTTAGTGCTGTGACGCGAGACCTTTGGGAATACCAGGTGCCACAGTGGGGCGGCTGGGGCTGTAAAGTGTCAAACTTTGGTTGTGTCCTTAGGGAAGACACTTCACCCCCATTGCCTAGAATGAGTCTGGTGTGTGTGTGAATGGTTGGTGGTGGTTGGAGGGGCAAATGGCACATGGTTGCCTCGTTTCTGTCTGTGTGCCCCAGGAGACAGTGGCTGAGTGGATAGCACTCCCGCTTCTCAGCTAGAGGATCCTGGGTTCGAATTCCGGTCGGAACAGGGCCTTTCTGAGTGGAGTCTGCATGTTCTCCCCGTGCCTGCGGAGGTTTCCTCTCGGTGCTTTGTCTCTCTGATGTATCTCTGCTGTCACTCCTTTTTGAGTGTCCAAAAAGCGCTATAGAAAAAAGATTATTTTTTTAAATATAACGCAGGTCCTCAGGCACAAAGCATGATGGGAACTGTGCATGTGATAATTTCAGCGCTCTCTCAGACCTGCGGTGTTACATCCTCCTCTAATCCTCTGCTCTCAGTGGGATTTGGTCCAGGCCTGGTCTAAAGCCCTCTCTGCCGCTGCATACATTAGTGGATTCCCCTGAGGTCCGGGACGTGTCCTGGACCCGGCTGCACATCCGACACGCTCCACATCCCAAAAACTACACAAGTTTCTGCATCTGCCTCAGTTTCTACTGTAGAATCCTGAGCCTTGTGTCTCGGATTCAGTTTATTTGCAGTTTGTAAAAAGTACAAGAAACAATCAACAAAAACAGATTCAATACAAATTATTAAAGTGCTTTGCTCATACTGATAACAGCTGAAAGAAGCTGTTAGCCTATCCAGATCCTGCAGCCAACGATATCTTCTGCCAGAAGAAGAAGAGTCACTGATTATTCTAAGATCTGGATTTAAGAATCTGGATTCATGAAGAACCTCCAGAACAGACATCTCACAAGCCTCTCTCTGGCTGTAGTCCCAGGGCCGAGGCTGTAGTCCCAGGGCCGAGGCTGTAGTCCCAGGGCCGAGGCTGTAGTCCCAGGGCCGAGGCTGTAGTCCCAGGGCCGAGGCTGTAGTCCCAGGGCCGAGGCTGTAGTCCCAGGGCCGAGGCTGTAGTCCCAGGGCCGAGGCTGTAGTCCCAGGGCCGAGGCTGTAGTCCCAGGGCCGAGGCTGTAGTCCCAGGGCCGAGGCTGTAGACAGGTCTGTTTCCACACAAAAACAAATTTCAAAACGTTCCAAATGACTACAGTACTCAATCGCAGCATTCAGACTGAGGCTATTGTTTAAATAATATGTTCTTACTCCCACTGCTGTCGTTGTGTCCATGGGCAAGACACCCACTTTGCCTGAAGCCCCTGCTGAAAGATCAAGGCAGATCCAGGAATGTATTAAAGGAATAGTTCACCGTTTTTACATACTGACATATGTTCTTACCTTACCTTAGACTAGTTAATACGTACCTGTCTGGTCTTAGTCCGTGCGCTCTGTCATGCAAACGGAGCAAAAGCGGGAGCACAAACGCAGCCTCCTCTGTATATTTTGTAGCACCAAAAGGTAGCTCCCGCTAGAAGCTACCAAACTCTTCCAAGTGTTCCCTATTAAATGTATATAGTTACGTGACGTGTTACACTGCAAAGTATAGTAACACAGAAATGTAACAGTCGATTTTCTCAGCGGATAAAACGGGTACTATATTGTGAGGCGTAGTAATCTGAGGGGCGCTACGTCCGCGCACTAACTTCTCTCCGTACTACAAGTCACGCTGCTTCTATTGACGGAAGTGAGCGAGAGAGAAGTCTCCGGAGAGAAGTTAGTGCGCGGACGTAGCGCCCCTCAGATTACTACGCCTCACAATATAGTACCCGTTTTATCCGCTGAGAAAATCGACTTACATTTCTGTGTTACTATACTTTGCAGTGTAACACGTCACGTAACTATATACATTTAATAGGGAACACTTGGAAGAGTTTGGTAGCTTCTAGCGGGAGCTACCTTTTGGTGCTACAAAATATACAGAGGAGGCTGCGGTTGTGCTCCCGCTTTTGCTCCGTTTGCATGACAGAGCGCACGGACTAAGACCAGACAGGTACGTATTAACTAGTCTAAGGTAAGGTAAGAACATATGTCAGTATGTAAAAACGGTGAACTATTCCTTTAAGTGGAAGAAAATGGATGGATACATTTATAGTTGTCTCAGTATTCTCGCCTCCCCTAAAGCCCACGGGGAGGTCCTCTTCAGCACTGATTCAGCGGAGCCTCTTCTAAATGTCACTGAGCCCAGTGGATTTGTGGAGCGCTCTGAACATTTTCACCAAATGCCACTGAAAATCCTACAGTTCTGCTCCCAAACTGAGAGCAGCTCCAGGGACCGTGATCCACCCTCACTGTGTGAAGGAGAGGTCCCAGGTCTGTCCTAATGCTGTCAGACCGTACAACGGGAACTGCTGAGTCTGTACTTCAGACTCAATCAATCATCTGTAAATAGAAAGTACTGCACTTTCAGAACTTTAATTTATTCTGCCCACATTACGCAAAAATATATTCTAACATCTCTTTATCTTTAATTCCATCTGAAGTATTCACAGCGACTGATCCTTATGTTGTGTTCTTTCTCCTCCTCTGTGCGCTGCAACACTGACATTTCCTCACTGTGGGATAAAGGTTCTGATCTGAAATATGAGACTGACCAATGAGAGCGTCTGCAGCTCTGTCTTGTACATACATGAGTTCTCAGGTGTAATGACTGTACCTCTCTCTCGCTGCAGGGCTGTGCCTCCTGGAAGTGGTACTTTCCGTTCCACTACGCTCCGTTTGCCTCAGACTTCAAAGACATTAAAGACATGTTCACTGAGTTCGAGACAGACACCAAACCGGTGAGAGCTGGGATATTTGGGAGACAGGGTAGAGACAGGGGGAGACGGGCAGAGGGGGAGAGAGACAGAACTCTCAAGACTAGACTCTGACCATCACAATGTGCATTTGTCTTTGGGACACACGATGTAAAGCTTTTAGTTTTCAGTTTTGAATATTCATTTAATTAATTAATGTGTGTCTTTCTCTGTAGTTTAAGCCTCTGGAGCAGCTGATGGGAGTCTTTCCTGCAGCCAGTGGAAATTTTCTGCCCCAGACCTGGAGGAACCTGATGTCCAACCCTGTAAGTGGCGCGCGCAGAGTGGCGCGCGCAGAGTGGCGCGCGCAGAGTGGCGCGCGCAGAGTGGCGCGCGCAGAGTGGCGCGCGCAGAGTGGCGCGCGCAGAGTGGCGCGCGCAGAGTGGCCACTCTGTGGCGCCCACTTCACCTCTTTTTCTCTGCAGGAGTCATCCATCATAGACTTCTATCCAGACGACTTTGCCATCGACCTGAACGGGAAGAAATATGCCTGGCAAGGTCTGTGGTGTTTAAAGCTGGGGTCTGTAACTTTAGTCTCATGAATAAAACATGGTTAAAGCTGGGGTCTGTAACTTTAGTCTCATGAATAAAACATGTTTAAAGCTGGGGTCTGTAACTTTAGTCTCATGAATAAAACATGTTTAAAGCTGGGGTCTGTAACTTTAGTCTCATGAATAACACTTGTTTAATGCTGGGGTCTGAGTGTTTTTAGTAGGCGTTCCCTCTGTAGATGGCGGTTCGTTCCTAAAATTTGGGGGAATCCTCCAATATACCTTTTAACTTTGATCTTTAAAGTTCAGTCCCTGATCTGAGTCCTGTGTGCAGGAGTGGCGCTGCTGCCATTTGTGGACGAGCGCAGACTGAGGGCAGCTCTTGCGGATGTGTATCCAGAGCTGACACAGGAGGAAAGTGAGTGTGTGTGGTTTTAATCGGGTCCAGGTTTATTGATTTGAGGTGTTTCTAAAGACAGAAATGTTTCTGTTGTTTCCAGTGAAGAGGAACAGTTTGGGCAGCGACGTCCTGTTTCTGGGGAAATCTCACCCACTGTTCGACTTTATACATGAACTGTACAGGACCGAGACCACAGAGGTAAGACCAGAGAGAAGGGCAATTCAAATGTATGGATTCCAGATTGTGTTGTTGTGTCCTTGGGAAAGACACTGAAACCCCGCTGAAAGATCAAGGCAGAGCAGCCATCCTCCTGTGGACTCACCACCTGCAGGAGGATCAGAGAGGGGCGGGTGCCCTGTGGACTGGGTGCAGCTCTGACTGCCACCCCCCAACCCAGAAATGGATTAAGGGGAAAAAAATGGTCGGATTTGTCAGGGGGCTAACTTGGGTCCATTTTCACTAAAGGGTTAGGGTCTGTTGTATGTAAAAGGTGCCTGTAAACATATGTAGCGTCTAATGATAGCTGCCGTAGTGTGTCTCATTTGTTGTTTCCATAGAGACGTGAAAGTAATTTCACTGGAGACAGTCAGATATTCATCACAATATTTACCATTTATCAGTGTTTGTTCCATCAGCTTCTGTACCTGTGTATAATAGATTTTCTAGAAGCTACAGCAATAATAATGATGACAACATAGGATTGTAAAGTGTTACCTGATGATTTGTGTGTAGGTCACAGATATCCCACCAGAACTGTGCCACGGCATTCTGGGAAAACTGAATCTTGACCAGAACCCCATCCTCCCAGAGAAGTATGCTAGCTACTTTATTTACATTATCACCACATATACACACTCCTGATGTCTATCTGCTGTCTCTGCTGTCTCTCTGCTTTCTCTCTCCTGTATCTCTGCTTTCTCTCTGATGTCTCTCTGATGTCTCTCTGCTGTCTTTGCTGTCTCTCTGCCTCTCTGCTGTATCTCTGCTGTCTCTCTGCTGTCTCTGATGTCTCCCTGCTGTCTCTCTGCTGTCTGTCTGATCTCTCTCTGCTGTCTCTCTTTGATGTCTGCTGTCTCTCTGATGTCTCTCTGCTGTCTCTCTTTCTCTCTGCTGTTTCTCTGCTGTCTCTCTGATGTCTCTGCTGTCTCTCTTTATCTCTGCTGTCTCTCTGCTGTCTCTCTGCTGTCTCTCTGCTGTCTCTCTGATGTCTCTGCTGTCTCTCTTTATCTCTGCTGTCTCTCTGCTGTCTCTTTTTCTCTGCTGTTTCTCTGCTGTCTCTCTGATATCTCTCTGCTGTCTCTCTGATGTCTCTCTGCTGTCTCTCTGTCTCTCTGATGCAGGACAGTGCAGTCTCCCATCCCAGCGCTCAGAGACGTGGCACAGAACTCGTCCATCGGGTAAATCATCTGTTTAACTGTTCTCCTTGGGTTCAGACCTGCAGATGTGTTTGGATCCATCCACGCTCATGAACATTGTCACAAGCAGAAGACACACATGTGTCAAGACATCATCATGTGTTTACTCCTCTTTCTCTGTTCTCTCTCTCTCGCTGGTCTCCTCACTAGTTTTAAAGTAGTTTAAATCTCTTAGCTCGTTAGCTTGCCGCAGCTGCTGGTCTCTGATTGGACAGAGCTTGCCGCAGCTGCTGGTCTCTGATTGGACAGAGCTTGCCGCAGCTGCTGGTCTCTGATTGGACCGATCCAGCTGTGAGTTCAGAGGAGCTCATTCAGACGCTCCCTGTAATTTGAGCGTGACAAGATCCAGAGATGTGTTTCACTTTCTCCACTGTATCGTCCTGATCTCTCTCGGGTCTCCTCTCTCGGGTTGTGTCTCTGTTGTTCCTTCCATGGCCTGAGGAAGACTGTAGAGCTGTGATGTTTAGCATCAGATCTCTGACGTTTCTTTTAAAATCAAGATTTGAAGAGAAATACTTTAAGACATAAATGCACTGATGGAGATGAGCCTCATACAGACTCTGATTCAGGACCACAGTCTGAGGCTCTGGTTCAGGACCACAGTCTGAGGCTCTGGTTCAGGACCACTGTCTGAGACTCCTTGTGTGTGTGTTACAGAGTGAGGTTCAGAGACCCAGAGTTTCCTGCAGGGCACGTATTTAAGGCTGTGATGCTACCGGGCGCCAAGTGAGTCACACACACGCACACACACACACACACACAGTATTCAGTCACTTACAAAGAAGCAGGCCTTGTGTATCTGAGCTCTAACTTACTTCAGGCTCCTGTCCTCCACTCGATACTTGTATCAACGACACAACCTCAAAAGTTATTATATTTGATGTTATTCTGATCAGAATCCCAGCAAACACGCTGAAGCCGGAGGACTTCCAGCAGAGCGGGCGGCAGTGGAGACCTCAGCTCGGATTCAACCCCAACAGACAGCAGGCTCACCTCGGCCAATCAGGACAGAGAGCACTCAAGTAAGTCCCGCCTCCTTTTTCTACAGACTTGTACTTAAAGGTGAGGGATGTAACTTTCAGACCACAATAGAACTCTGTGATATATGTAGTTTTCTGGCTCTAAAATATTTACTTCTATTACGTGTTCACTTACAGTATCAGCTCTCAGCCCGAGAGTCAAATAGTGACTCACACGGCTCTTTCTTACAAAGAAAATTACGTTGCACAGCTTTAATGTAATGTTACCCAGACCGAGCTGCAGCCCTATTCTTACTGTAACATTGTGCTCTGGTCCTGGTCTAATGTCTGGTCTTATGTCCTGGTCCTGATCTCACTTCTTCTCTGCTTTCAGCCACTCTCTGGGTCGAGGTGGAGGTCAGTACAGCAATGCGCCCCCCCCAGGAAACTACCAGAACTACAACAGGGGACAGCAACACTATCCCTGTGAGTGTGTGTGTGTGTGTGTGTGTCTGTCTCTCTATGTGTTTGTGTGCGTCTCTGCGTGTGTCTGTCTGTCTGTGTTAGTCCAAACTTGTTGTGTGATTACTTTTAAACCTCATATAATTGTGATTTTTCTGTTATCGTCTCAAGCATAATGGCTGCTCTTTGTGTCGTGTGTAATCAGCACTGGTTCGGCTGATTAGACTCCCTCCTCCCTCTCCCCCTGCCTCTCACTCCTCCACATCCCCCCCTCCAGTTATGGACTTGAAGTGCTTCGGCTACATTCTCTAGTGTCGGTTACTGGTCTACAGTTCGGGTCAAACCTCTTTGTTCTAGAACCTGGACTGTAGACCAGGACCTAGTCTTGGTCTAAAGTAGCTTGACTCTCCCTCCCCGTTCTCCCCCCTCTCCTCCTCCTCCTCTGGACTTATGGACGTGAAGTGCTCTGGCCCCATTCTCTGCAGTGAAATAGTTTGTAAAGTGTTGTTTCCTTGGCGACAGTCTGTGTGACCTCTGACCCCTGTCCACTCTATGGGGGCGGGGTCTTCGAGGATCTATATCTTCAAACACATTTTTAATACAAGTGTGGATTTTCCCTGCACTCTGAAATGCATATGCTGGCTGTGTCTCAGTAGGACCGGATTACCGTGGTTACACGCAGCATAAACTGTTCAATCCAGTGACGCCAAACAGACTGGTCTTTCACTCTCTCAAGGAGCGTCCAGTCTCTGCTGAGGACTCTCACGTCGGACACTTGTGTCTGCCATCTTGTGCCAAAGGGATCCTGGTCCCCGTTCAATTCAGTGTATTCTAGTCTCGGCCTATATCACAGCAGTAGTAGCCTGGTCTTACCACACCATCGTACTCATTTCATTTTGTACTACGGTCTGAATTTCCTCCATTGAGCTCCGTTAACAGGTGGGAGGGCTTAATTCCTTTTGCAGATTGAAACGACTGGATCTGAGTTTATGTAATGCGCCCGAGTGAGTGAGGCATTTAGCATTCAGCCTAGCTTTAGCCATCTCCTTTGCCACTAACGGAGCCCGTGGGGAGTAGAGCCACAACATCTTTACCAGCAATGAAATTTGCTAAAAATTCCTCTTGCTCCGGCTTCAATTTCTTGATATTTAGAGCCGAACCAGAACGGATTACTTTACTATTGCATTTGCCGCCAAACTACAACCAAAAAATTTGGCACTCACTGAATGGTTGGAAGAGAATTCAAACAAGGTAACCGCAGCCACTAGGATCAGATCTAGACGGATATGTAGGAAATTAAAATTGACCGGAGTTTAAGGATGGACATACAATTCACCAACAGAGATCAGAGAATCAAATCAAAGGGTTCAAACACAGACACATTGGTCCATAAGGGGCAGAGACCACTGTCCATAAATGTTGCTGAATGCCCTGGATCACCACTGGGTCCTCGGGTTCCCCGTACATCTACAGAACCTGTTTGGTCCGAGCCCAGAAACGTTCAAACAAGATTTGGACAAACTCCATAAGTTTCTCCAGAGTTCATTAAAGTGACAGGACCCAGAGCGTCTCAGCTGCTGTTTTGTTCTGAGGTCTATTATCCTGTTTTGGCTCCACCTGCCTCTCCCCTCTTCAGTTTGAACCCTTCTCCCCCGCCCTCCCCTGGGGTAATTGGCTGCCAGTGGGTGGTCCTTTCCTTTTGTCCTGAGCTCACAGGGAAACACACACTTCCTACATGTTACATCAGTGGTTAAAATGTGTGGTCTGTGATGTCACTGCTCCTCAGGTTTAAAGCCGTTCCACACATTTTACTTCTTACAATGTGTTTCTCATGCACCTCGTGATTTCTCCATCATATTACACTAGCCTCACATGAGTTACTTTTGTCTAAAGTCTGAAGAAAACATTTATGGCTTTGGTGTTTAGTTCAGAGGTCTCTCTCTCTGGTCTCGTGCTCTGGTCTCTCTCTCTCAGGTCTGTTTATAAAACCTTAAAACAAACAGTTGCGACTGCAAGAATTTTTGAACACATCACCCCTGTCCCAGTGTGGAGAGGATCCTTCATTATTAACATTTGTCTCAAATAACGACAAACTGGTGAAAAGTGTGTCTGTGTCTTGTCTCTGTGTACATATAATCCTAATAAATAAATATATATATATATATATATATATATATATATATATATATATATATATATATATATATATATATATATATATATATATATATATATATATATATATATATATATATATATATATATATATATATATATATATATATATATATATATATATATATATGTGTGTTCACAGTAAAGTGACAATTGAAGTATCTGGACTTTAAAAGGTTATAACTTAAAAACTAAAATTACTTTCATAGATTGGAAGAAAGATTTCAAACACAGACACATTGAAGAGATAGTGTGGAAAAAATCAAAAGGAAAGATTGACATAAAAATGTTTAGCAACATTTTAAACGACCAAATCAGCCTCTGATTGGACCATTCTACTGTGACGCCAGTTACATAGAAAATAAAATGTCCTCAGTCTGAAAAAGCAGAAGATGAAATCCCACAAAATGTACATGGTTAACACAACAGAAGGGAATCACTTGATATAAAAAGGAATCGTAAAAAAATAAAAATTAATTAATTAATTAAATGACCCCTGAAAAATGTATAACGGACGTGATGAGGACGGTCCTCTTTTCTCTAAAAATTAAACTTGAGGAAAAAAAAATGTGGTCTGTTTTCTCATTTAATTGCTTGACAATATGGAAGTATCACTTTGTGTAAAAAAACAGAATCTCTGATTCAAATGTGGACATCTGAAAATACCTATCAAACTTCCACAAAGCTCATTCCGTCAAATCATCACGTCCGTTACATAAAATAAACAGGGCCGCTATAGGAAACTTGTTTTAAGTATAAAACAGTTATGTTCTAGCAACTTCTAAAGGACAGAGGAGGTGTTTGGAAACATGAAAAACATAAAATATCTTCTAATTATTAAAATCTAATTTTTGGCCTTTTGTCACACTTTTGTGCCCTTTAGTGTGAACAAGCCCATATATATAATTTCTGTTTGTCTCAGCCTTGTGTGTGTGTGTGTATTCTCTCGGTCTCCAGGGAGACCTGAAGTGGCTTTAGTCTCCCTCTTGAGTGTTTGTGATGTGAATGTTAATGTTTCAAACCTAAAGCTGGATTATCTGGAGTCTGCAGGGTTCAGACTGTAGACCAGTCTCTGAGTCCCGGGTCTCTGGGGTGTGTGTGTCCTCATGTTGTGTGTCTCTTTCTCAGCTCCTCGGCAGAGCAGCCTGTTGGGAGAGCCTCCGTATCAGCAACCGTATCAGAGGTAGGACCACAGATTGAGACGTCACACACATCAGTTTCTTTACTTTCACTTTCGTTGCTGGACAAATGTCCTCGGGTTTAGATGAATACTTCAGTTTGGACTTAACTTTAGTCTCATCAATGACATGTATTTTTAACAAAGTTTATTACTGATGTCTGTTGTGATCTGAAAGTTTCGGACCCCAGCTTTATAGTTATGTTTAACCCCTGCTGTCCTCTGGTCATTGACCCATCAGTGATTTTAAAATTAAAATCCAAGCTTAAATGTATGACTTTCAAACGTGACCGAGTCTTTTAGACCTTAAAGGTACACTGTGTAGTCTTTACCCCATCTAGAGTTAAGATCATATTGCAAGTCTACTTCTACCACCCACATTACGGAAGCCTCCGAGGACCATATGTCGTGTTTGACAGTGGTCGCCAACCCCTGTTCATTCTGGACCACAAAGGAAAGAATCCTTTCATTTAATAAATGACCGGATCTCTCTGTACACTACCGTGCCACAAATGTGCCGCGGTTCTGTTATGATATAGTTTTACCATGGATCTGTTAAATATATAGTTTTACCATGGATCTGTTATAATATATAGTTTTACAAACACTGAAGGAATGGGAAATGCTAAAAACCACAATGAACTGAGGTGACATTGCCGCGGCTGAACTGTGGCTAAAAGATCAGGTTATTATCTTTCAGCAGACGCTGCATCCACATCATGGTAAGAAAACAGAACATTCAAACTCACTGTTAATATTCTGACGATTGTTTTGTGAGGATTCTGAGTAGAGCCCTGCACGGGCCTATTATCTGGGCCCGAGCCCGGCCCTGGCCCGAGGGGGTGGCGCCCCAGCCCGGCCCGGCCCGATATGGTTTCTGAATTTTCAGGCCCAAAACCCGCATCAAGCCCGCCTTTTTTTTTTTTTTTTGTAACCTCCCATAACAATGTTTTAGCGTAGTATATAGTGCCGCGCACTGATATGAACGCAGACTTAGCTAGAGGGCGGAGTTATACATGGTAGTGATGTGTTGCAATGAGTTCTGTGTGTGCGGAGTGGTGCAGAGTGAACGGCCGCATCTGTATGATGCCCCCGATGCTGCAACACACCTGCACATTACATAAGTAATGCTATGTGCCGTCAATGACAACACTACACAGAACAAGAAACACTACAGCGTGATAGAACGCTATATTCAGTGGGTGCGCTCGTAAATCTATTCTGCCGCTCTGAAAATGAAGAGCCCGAGCCCGGCCCGTGTCCGAGGTCATTATGCGGTCATCGGCCCGAAGCCCGGCCCTCGGGCTGTCGGGCCGTTGGGGCCCTCGGGCCAAGGGCTCAAGTACAGGGCTCTAATTCTGAGTATTGAGGCTTGTACCTGAATAAGTTTATTTGAAACTTGTGACAGAGTAGTTGGACTCAGAGCGGGTCAGAACATCCTGAGACTGTTGCAGATTCTGGCTCATTACTGTCAGTGTGAAGAAAGTTACGCATTCACATGTGCACATGTTGTGTACAAACTTCACAGTGTGTCTCCTGTTTTTAACGCTGCCTTTCGGTGTGTGTTTGCAATGTTGACTCCTAATGATGATTCCTGTTGTTGTGTCGTTGGGCAAGACACTTAACCTCTGGTAACACCAACTGCCACAGTGGGGCGGCTGTAAAGTGCCAAACTGCCGTTGGGTCCTGAGGCAAGACACTTCACCCACATTGCCTAGAATGAGTCTGGTGTTTGTGTGAATGGTTGGTGGTGGTGGGAGGGGCTGAGGGCACAGACTGGTTGCCTCACTTCTGTCAGTGTGCCCCAGGGCAGCTGTGGCTACAGTATTAATTCATCACGTGTTTGGAGTGAATGAATAATGACATGTGAAGCATCTTTGAGAGTCCAAAAAAAGCGCTATATAAAACCAATGTAGTATTATAACTGTTCTGTACCATCACTGTGGTCCTCCATGGTTCTGTACCATCACTGTGGTCCTCCATGGTTCTGTACCATCACTGTGGTCCTCCATGGTTCTGTACCATCACTGTGGTCCTCCATGGTTCTGTACCATCACTGTGGTCCTCCATGGTTCCTACTTCCAACTTGTGAGGGCATTTATTAGTAGCACCTGTGAAACAAAGACGTCTCCTTTTGTCCCTTATCAACCACCGTATTTCTAGATGGAGCATTGATTTGGAGAGTCCTCAGCCTCACGGACATTTATAATTCAAATTCTAAGCCTATGACTATTCAAAAACATGGTGGAGGTAAATATTCTCAAAGTTAATTTGTTATTGGTTACAAACATAAAAAACGTTTTCATTTTGAGCGACCTAAAAATTAGACTACCTTTTAATTTAGGGTCTTTTTCTTCTACTTTAAATCACCTGTTGCTGTGGATGGCACAGGGTTAGAAATGGGAAGATTTAAGCCCAAAATGGTGAGTGAGACACAACGTTGCATGTTCTCCTGGTCCTGTACTACAGCAACCACTGCTCCTGACAGAGGACATTCCCTGCAGGAAGAATGAAGAATGGCATAAATCCCCTCCCTCCCTTCCACAGTGTAATGAAGTCCATTCAGAGTTCCTTGTGTTTGCTCAGTGTAATGAGGCTGCACTAACGCTCTCAAACTCTAATCCGTCTCTGTTTAAGGCTGCGGCCACATGCACAGCCCAAAGCCCGGTTAAAGCGGGCCTAGGCCCTGACCACGATTAGATCTGGGCTTTATGGGGCGTTCAGTCTCTAAATTTCAGACGCTAGGAGTGTTCACACCAGAAGTCCTGGGATGCGGTGGCGAGCGCCGGAAGTAGCGGGCGGACTTTGATGCTAACAGAGTTAAGCTAGCAGCTTTTTGTATAAAGTTCTTCTCCAGTAATGCAGCTCTGCAGCATCTCTGTCCAGAGACCTTCCACAGACTTTATATAATAGTAGTATGTGTTCACGGAGGTGCGCCATAAGTTTATTTTATTATTAAACGGCACTTCCGCATTGGCAAACACACTTGAAGCAGTTGCATAAAGTCACGGGAGCATGAAAACTCACATGTTCACAAGCACTACGTCCCCCATTGTCAACCCTGGTTTAGTCCTGGTTTAGCTCCTGTTTTGGCTGTGTACGAGTATTTTGCGTTATGTATTCGAACGGGATTCACATCCTCTGACGTGCAGGTCTCCCCCGTCTCTCCCCCGTCTGTCCCCCGTCTGTCCCCCGTCTCTCCCCCGTCTGTCCCCCGTCTGTCCCCCGTCTCTCCCCCTGTCTCTTCACGAAGCGCAGCCAAAACTCACTGTATTAAAACTCAGGTTCCTACACTTTTCCTTGCATTGACAATCTGTTATTTGTGCACAAGAAATTTTTTTTTGAACAAATCAAACGGAACAAACCAAAAACAGTCTTGTTTTATTATTTTGCTTACTTAAGAGCCCTGTGATTTATTTTACTTTTTGGGAATAGTTTCCCAATGTTTCCACATAGTTTGTGCCACTTTATTGACAAACTCTTGTTACCTTGTGTAGATAAATGTTTGTTAGTCTCACATTATTATTTTAAATCATCTTCCCTGTGTGGAAGTTGTATATTTTTTGAATAATTCTACTGAAGGTTTATAATAATACTCTTCATTCTTATTAAAAGCCACAGGTGTCAGCTCTCAAATTCTTTTGAAACGATGTTTCTATCTGCAACAGAGGCCGAGATATTGGATTTCAGGAAAACTTCAGGTTTTGGAGGTGGTTCTAAAGTCAGCCATGGGTTTTAGTCTGTTTTACCAAAGTGTGTCAGGCCTTAATGGGTTAAAGCTGGGGTCTGTAACTTTAAAACTGTTCTGTTTACTGCTCTGTGATTCTGCTGTTTACATGTGATACTGTCTTTGTAAATCCACATATGAGCCATGTTAGGACTGACCAATCAGAGCGACTCATTCAGGGGTAACCTCCAGCTTCCTGTCTGTCCTGATACAGCATGTAACACCGCCAGAACAAATGGAAAAGGAAACGACATTAGTTTAACCCACGGGCATCTTGGCCCCTGGGATGATATTTGATTAGTGTTATAACCGGCCGCACAGAGCCATAAGGAAATATTGCATAATTAATTTAATGTTCAAGACGTGTGTTTTCTCTTTAAAGTAAGTTTGTTTTTGTCTGTGAGCCCGAATAAGTTAACCTGGCAAGAGCCAGATTGATGATTGTGTAGAACTTTAATGCGTTCTCCACAATATCAATCTGGGACTTCTGCAGGAGAATCCTTTCAAGGAAAGGAGGGATAAGCAGTGCCCGCCTACCAAGGTTTGACTTAAACCAATCCCGGTAACATCTTTGCCGTCCAGAAATGCACAAAGCGCCTCTCACTGTTCATCTTTAAAAAAAGAAATTGGAGATTCTGCTAAAACTGACTTGATAGCCTCAGCTACGCGTCCGTCCTCCTGCGTAGCCATGTTTGTTTTGCTTCGGCCCGGCACTTCTTGCTTTCGTCAAACCCGGATATCCCGCCCTAAACCCGCAGACTGGCGCGTGATTGGCTTGAACACCTAGATGTTCTACTCGAACAGGGTTGGCGGGAGCGGGGCAAGATGTATTCTCGAGTGTTTGTGAACTCACAAATACCGCGAGAATTCAGCTTGCAGGTAAGAGTATGAATAAGTCAAAAATATTATTAATTTAATCATTAATTAAAATACTGCCCATTTTAATATTTTAATAAACATTGGACCAGTCCACTCGGCTTAAAGTGAATGTTTTTTTTTTGCCTCTGATGTATTTCACTTAAACATACCTGGTCTAACCCCAGTCTCTTCCACAGACAGTCGTATGGGGGCGGGGCTCACGGCTGGGGCCGAGCCAATCAGAACCAGCACAATGCGTACCAGCAGAACTCCAACAGGGGGCACTCTCAAGGAGGATACCAGCAGCAGCAGCAGCAGCAGCAGCAGTACGGCCAGTACAACCAGAGAGGAGGAGGAGGGGGAGGAGGGCAGGTGAGGAGGCTGTCACATGTGGTGTCTGTGTGAATATAAGATACAAAGAGACCATTTACTCTCTGGGGTCTCTCTCTCTCTGGTCTCTCGCGCTGGTCTCTCTCTCTGGTCTCTTTCTCTGGTCCCTCTGGTCTCTCTCTCTCTGGTCCCTCTGGTCTCTCTCTGACTCATGTCTTTTTTGTTTCAGGGCTATAACACTGGACGTGGTGGATACCCAGCTCCCCCTCCATCCAGACGATACAACTGAAACTAAACCAAAACTGGACTGGACTGGACCAGACGTTGACTTTTGACTCTCTGTATTGTGTATGATTTGTGTAAAGATCATTTCTTTTTTATGTGATCCATGTTTTTAACTCAAGGTTTGAGGAAGTTCTGTTTATTACTGAGAGAAACTCCAATAAACATATTCTGACCTCACTACGTCTGAGTCTGTTTGGTCTCTCCCTCTCTGACCGGAGAGGAGGGAGACCGGAGAGGAGGGAGAGACCGGAGAGGAGGGAGAGACCGGAGAGGAGGGAGAGACCGGAGAGGAGGGAGAGACCGGAGAGGAGGGAGAGACCGGAGAGACCGGAGAGGAGGGAGAGACCGGAGAGACCGGAGAGGAGGGAGACCGGAGAGACCGGAGAGGAGGGGGAGACCGGAGAGACCGGAGAGGAGGGGGAGACCGGAGAGACCGGAGAGGAGGGGGAGACCGGAGAGGAGGGAGAGACCAGACTCAGAGAGACCAGAGAGGAGGGAGAGACCGGAGAGGAGGGAGAGACCAGACTCAGAGAGACCAGAGAGGAGGGAGAGACCAGAGAGGAGGGAGAGACCGGAGAGGAGGGGGAGACCGGAAGAGGAGGGGGAGACCAGAGAGGAGGGGGAGACCAGAGAGGAGGGGGGAGACCAGAGAGAGGGGGAGACCAGAGAGGAGGGGAGACCAGAGAGGGGGAGAGACCAGAGAGGAGGGAGAGACCGGAGAGGAGGGAGAGACCCGAGAGGAGGGGGAGACCGGAAGAGGAGGGGGAGACCAGAGAGGAGGGGGAGACCAGAGAGGAGGGAGAGACCAGAGAGGAGGGAGAGACCAGAGAGGAGGGAGAGACCGGAGAGGAGGGAGAGACCGGAGAGGAGGGGGAGACCGGAAGAGGGGGGGAGGGGAGACCAGAGAGGAGGGGGAGACCAGAGAGAGAGACAGAGGAGGGGGAGACCAGAGAGGAGGGAGAGACCAGAGAGGAGGGAGAGACCGGAGAGGAGGGAGAGACCGAGAGGAGGGAGAGGAGGAGAGAGACCGGAGAGGAGGGAGAGACCGGAAGAGGAGGGGGAGACCAGAAGAGGAGGGGGAGACCAGAGAGGAGGGAGAGACCAGAGAGGAGGGAGAGACCAGAGAGGAGGGAGAGACCAGAGAGGAGGGAGAGACCAGAGAGGAGGGAGAGACCAGAGAGGAGGGAGAGACCAGAGAGGAGGGAGAGACCAGAGAGGAGGGAGAGACCAGAGAGGAGGGAGAGACTAGAGAGGAGGGAGAGACCAGAGAGGTCACATGAACACAAACCTGCTCTGGTCCAGGGGCACATTACTGAACATCCTCAGATCAATATTGTGTCATGATTGAGTCTGAAACTGTTTTAACAGAGTTTATGTAATTGTACTTTGTAATGTTTTTATTGTTGAAAATCACAGGTTAAGAACCAGGAATTTATTATGTAAACTGGACCTGTTTCCACCAGCTCTCTTCTGGTTGTGCTTACTTCAATATCTACTGTATACTAGCAACCTATACCACAACAAATCAGGGGAAACTCCTTGGTAACCATGGCTTCCAGAAGGCCTCTGGCCAATTACTGTCAGAACACTTTAGTCCCTATTGACTTGAAAATGACTTGATTACAAAATATAAATTCTATAAATACATGTTTTATTTCTATTCTTTAAATACAAATCAAAGTCATTTGTGAATTTATACATTAGTAATGAAGTCATGTTTAGTCTCTGTCTCTAGAATGTAACAGACACAGAACCATGAAAATCTACTAAAAAGATTTATTGACAATTGATCAGCACCAGCTTTAACGCCCTGATGCTGCAGCGGGTTCCGTCTGACTCCTCTCGCACAGAACCTCCTGCAGCTGTGGGTTCAGAATGTGAAGATCCGACTCTGGTCTCTGTCACCAGGTCCTGTACAACAGACTGGCCCCGATCACGTGATTGTGCGCCTCAGAGTCTGTGTGCGGCTGCAGAGCGGGACTAGGGCACATGTCCTGGTGCACCTGGTTCTCCTCTCTCTCCTGATGCGCCTGCGCACAGGTCTTCTTGCTCTCGTGCTCAGAGTCCGTGCTGGTATCTCTTGCCGCGCGCTTGAGTTTGTAGCGATGGTTCTGGAACCAGATCTTGACCTGGTTCGGAGTGAGTTGGACCAGAGCCGCCAGCTGCTCGCGCTGCGGGGCAGACAGATACCGCTGCTGTTTGAAGCGCCGCTCCAGCGCCTGCGTCTGCGCCTGCGCAAACAGCACGCGCCGCTTCCTCCGAGGAGCCGCGTGCAGCGCCGCGTGCAGTGACATCGCAGACTTCCCAGACTCCATGTGCACCGGGACCGGCCTGGACACTGGAGACAGAGAGAGGCATGAGAGACCAGAGGAGAGAGACCAGAGAGAGACCAGAGGAGAGAGACCAGAGGAGAGAGACCAGAGGAGAGAGACCAGAGGAGAGAGACCAGAGAGAGAGAGACCAGAGAGAGAGAGACCAGAGAGAGAGAGACCAGAGAGAGAGAGACCTGAGAGAGAGAGACCAGATGAGAGAGACCAGAGGAGAGAGACCAGAGAGAGAGAGACCAGAGGAGAGAGACCAGAGGAGAGAGACCAGAGAGAGACCAGAGAGAGACCAGAGGAGAGAGACCAGAGGAGAGAGACCAGAGAGAGAGAGACCAGAGAGAGAGACCAGAGGAGAGAGACCAGAGAGAGCGAGACCAGAGGAGAGAGACCAGAGAGAGCGAGACCAGAGGAGAGAGACCAGAGAGAGCGAGACCAGAGAGGAGAGAGACCAGAGAGAGCGAGACCAGAGGAGAGAGACCAGAGAGAGCGAGACCAGAGGAGAGAGACCAGAGAGAGCGAGACCAGAGGAGAGAGACCAGAGAGAGCGAGACCAGAGAGAGAGACCAGAGAGAGCGAGACCAGAGGAGAGAGACCAGAGAGAGAGAGAGACCAGAGAGAGAGAGAGACCAGAGAGAGAGAGACCAGATGAGAGACACCAGAGGAGAGAGACCAGAGAGAGAGAGACCAGAGGAGAGAGACCAGAGAGAGACCAGAGAGAGAGACCAGAGGAGAGAGACCAGAGAGAGCGAGACCAGAGGAGAGAGACCAGAGAGAGCGAGACCAGAGGAGAGAGACCAGAGAGAGCGAGACCAGAGGAGAGAGACCAGAGAGAGCGAGACCAGAGAGAGAGAGACCAGAGAGAGAGAGACCAGAGAGAGAGAGACCTGAGAGAGAGACCAGAGAGAGAGAGACCAGAGGAGAGAGACCAGAGAGAGACCAGAGGAGAGAGACCAGAGGAGAGAGACCAGAGAGAGAAAGACCAGAGAGAGAGACCAGAGGAGAGAGACCAGAGAGAGCGAGACCAGAGAGAGAGACCAGAGAGAGCGAGACCAGAGGAGAGAGACCAGAGAGAGCGAGACCAGAGGAGAGAGACCAGAGAGAGAGAGACCAGAGAGAGAGAGAGCGAGACCAGAGGAGAGAGACCAGAGAGAGCGAGACCAGAGGAGAGAGACCAGAGGAGAGACACCAGAGAGAGAGAGACCAGAGAGAGCGAGACCAGAGGAGAGAGACCAGAGGAGAGAGACCAGAGAGAGCGAGACCAGAGAGTGGCGAGACCAAGAGAGAGAGCGAGACCAGAGGAGAGAGACCAGAGAGAGAGAGACCTGAGAGAGAGAGACCAGATGAGAGAGACCAGAGGAGAGAGACCAGAGAGAGAGAGACCAGAGGAGAGAGACCAGAGGAGAGAGACCAGAGAGAGAGAGACCAGAGAGAGACCAGAGGAGAGAGACCAGAGAGAGAGAGACCAGAGAGAGAGACCAGAGGAGAGAGACCAGAGAGAGCGAGACCAGAGGAGAGAGACCAGAGAGAGCGAGACCAGAGAGAGAGACCAGAGAGAGCGAGACCAGAGGAGAGAGACCAGAGAGAGCGAGACCAGAGGAGAGAGACCAGAGAGAGCGAGACCAGAGGAGAGAGACCAGAGAGAGCGAGACCAGAGGAGAGAGACCAGAGAGAGAGAGACCAGAGAGAGAGAGACCAGAGAGAGAGAGACCAGATGAGAGAGACCAGAGGAGAGAGACCAGAGAGAGAGAGACCAGAGGAGAGAGACCGAGAGAGAGACCAGAGGAGAGAGACCAGAGAGAGACCAGAGGAGAGAGACCAGAGAGAGACCAGAGGAGAGAGACCAGAGAGAGAGAGACCAGAGAGAGAGAGACCAGAGGGGGAGAGACCAGAGAGAGAGAGACCAGAGGAGAGAGACCAGAGAGAGCGAGACCAGAGGAGAGAGACCAGAGAGAGCGAGACCAGAGAGAGCGAGACCAGAGAGAGAGACCAGAGAGAGCGAGACCAGAGAGAGCGAGACCAGAGAGAGAGAGACCAGAGAGAGCGAGACCAGAGAGAGAGACCAGAGAGAGAGACCAGAGAGAGCGAGACCAGAGGAGAGAGAGCGAGACCAGAGAGAGAGAGACCAGAGAGAGCGAGACCAGAGGAGAGACAGAGAGAGCGAGACCAGAGGAGAGACAACCAGAGAGAGAGAGACCAGAGAGAGCGAGACCAGAGGAGAGAGACCAGAGGAGAGAGACCAGAGAGAGCGAGACCAGAGGAGAGAGAGCGAGACCAGAGGAGAGAGACCAAGAGAGCGAGACCAGAGGAGAGAGACCAGAGAGAGCGAGACCAGAGAGAGAGACCAGAAGAGAGCGAGACCAGAGAGAGAGACCAGAGAGAGCGAGACCAGTGGAGAGAGACCAGAGAGAGAGACCAGAGGAGATAGAGACCAGAGAGAGACCAGAGGAGAGAGAGAGAGACCAGAGGAGAGAGACCAGAGAGAGAGAGAGACCAGAGAGAGAGACCAGAGAGAGAAACCAGAGAGAGAGAGAGAGACTGAGGCCAGAGAGAGAGACCAGAGAGAGAGAGAGAAGAGAGAGATTGAGAGGAGAGAGACTGAGGCCAGAGAGAGAGACCAGAGAGAGAGAGAGAAGAGAGAGATTGAGAGGAGAGAGAAAAACCAGAGAGAGAGAGAGAGAGAGAAGAGAGAGATTGAGAGGAGAGAGAAAAACCAGAGAGAGAGAGAGAGAAGAGAGAGATTGAAAGGAGAGAGAAAAACCAGAGAGAGAGAGAGAGAAGAGAGAGATTGAGACCAGAGAGCGAGAAACCAGAGAGAGAGAGTGAGAGAGAGAGAGAGAGACTGAGGCCAGAGAGAGAGACCAGAGAGAGAGAGAGAGAAGAGAGAGATTGAGAGGAGAGAGACTGAGGCCAGAGAGAGAGACCAGAGAGAGAGAGAGAGAGAGAGAGAGATTGAGAGGAGAGAGAAAAACAAAGAGAGAGAGAGAGAGAGAGAGAGAGAGAGAGAGAGAGATTGAGAGGAGAGAGAAAAACCAGAGAGAGAGAGAGAGAAGAGAGAGATTGAAAGGAGAGAGAAAAACCAGAGAGAGAGAGAGAGAAGAGAGAGATTGAGACCAGAGAGAGAGAAACCAGAGAGAGAGAGAGAGAGAGAGAGACTGAGGCCAGAGAGAGAGACCAGAGAGAGAGAGGACACCAGAGAGAGAGAGAGAGAGAGAGAGACTGAGGCCAGAGAGAGAGAGACCAGAGAGAGAGAGAGAGAGTTTGAGACCAGAGAGAGAGAAACTAGAGAGAGAGAGAGAGAGACCAGAACGAGAATTACTACAGAGAGAAAGAGAGAGCAGGGAGAGATTGAGACCAGAGAGAGACAAAAACCAGAAAGAGAGAGACTGAGGCCAGAGAGAGACCAGATCGAGAGTTACTGGAGAGAAACACAGAGAGCAGGGAGAGAGAGACCAGACCATGAGAGACTAGAGAGAGAGGGCAGGGAAAGAACGGTGAGAAAGAAACAGAGGGAAGAGAAACCAGAGAGAGAGACTTGGACCAGAGAGAGGGAGAGAGAGAGAGACTGAGGACAGAGAGAAACCAGACTGAGAATTACAAGAGAGAAAGACTGAGAGCAGGGAGAGAAACCAGAGAGAGAGAGACACAGAGATATAGAGAGACCAGAGAGAGACCAGAGAGAGAAACACACAGAGATAGAGAGAGACCAGAGAGAGAGACACACAGAGATAGAGAGAGACCAGAGAGAGACCAGTGAGAGAGAGACCAGAGAGAGACCAGTGAGAGAGAGACCAGAGAGAGATACACACAGAGATAGAGAGAGACCAGAGAGAGAGACCAGAGAGAGAAACACACAGAGATAGAGAGAGACCAGAGAGAGATACACACAGAGATAGAGAGAGACCAGAGAGAGAGACACACAGAGATAGAGAGAAACCAGAGAGAGACCAGTGAGAGAGAGACCAGAGAGAGACCAGTGAGAGAGAGACCAGAGAGAGATACACACAGAGATAGAGAGAGACCAGAGAGAGAGACACACAGAGATAGAGAGAGACCAGAGAGAGACCAGTGAGAGAGAGACCAGAGAGAGATACACACAGAGATAGAGAGAGACCAGAGAGAGAGACACACAGAGATAGAGAGAGACCAGAGAGAGACCAGTGAGAGAGAGACCAGAGAGAGATACACACAGAGATAGAGAGAGACCAGAGAGAGAGACCAGAGAGAGAAACACACAGAGATAGAGAGAGACCAGAGAGAGAGAAACCAGAGAGAGAGACCAGATGGGATCAGGTCCTGGCCTCGCTGCAGGCCTTTGTTCCAGATCAGAAGTCGGTCCAAATGACGTGTATTTAAACATGGATGAGCCGCTGTGACCTTTGAGTCTCTGCAGATGGAGAGAGACCAGGACAGAGGCCTGCATTTAGAAGCATCTGTCGGGTTAGCTTTTCAAAATAACACGTTTTAAACAGTGATAATTTCATGATTTGATGCTAGTTACTGTTTGTTTTGTTTTTCAATGAAGGTAGAGACTCGTAAAGCAGGGGAACAAAACCTTTTTATAAATACAACCTTTTGGAGAGTGAGAAACACCAGAGAGGGACCTGAGTGAGACCAGAGAGAGACCCGAGTGAGACCAGAGTGAGACCAGAGTGAGACCAGAGAGCGACCAGAGAGAGAGACCAGAGAGAGAGAGAGACCAGAGAGAGAGACCAGAGAGAGACCAGAGAGAGATATCCAGAGTGAGACCAGAGAGAAACCAGAGAGAGACCAGTGAGAGACCAGAGAGAGACCAGAGAGAGACCAGAGAGAGACCAGAGAGAGACCAGTGAGAGAGACCAGAGAGAGACCAGTGAGAGAGACCAGAGAGAAACCAGAGAGAGACCAGAGTGAGACCATATAAGTATTCCATGTCCTCTCCTTGTGGCCTGTGGGAGCAGGAGGAGATGACAAAGCAGATCTTTGCTTTGGCGCTCGGTGTAAATATGAGACGAGCAGAGAGCGGGAGGAGACGAGGACCACGAGGAGCAGAGGGTAATGAGATCAGAGAGGTGCGAGCTCCGGAGTCTGCCCCACACACACTAAACCAACACCATTGCAGTCTGAGAGAGAGACCAGCAGAGGAGAGCACACACACAACACACTGTAAACTCATGTGATCGATGGAGATGGTGTTTATGAGGCAAGTTTATTTGTATAACACCGTTCATACACACGGAAAATAGTAGAGTAGAGTAGAGTAGAGTAGAGTAGAGTAGGGTAGAGTAGAGTAGGGTAGAGTAGAGTAGGGTAGAGTAGAGTAGAGTAGGGTAGGGTAGAGTAGAGTAGGGTAGAGTAGAGTAGAGTAGGGTAGGGTAGGGTAGAGTAGAGTAGAGCAGAGCACAGTAGAGTAGAGCAGAGCAGAGCAGAGCAGAGAGTAGAGTAGAGTAGAGTAGAGTAGAGTAGAGTAGAGTAGAGTAGAGTAGAGTAGAGTAGAGTAGAGTAGAGTAGAGTAGAGTAGAGTAGAGTAGAGTAGAGTAGAGTAGAGTAGAGTAGAGCCTGTAGAAACAGGGCCATAAACAAACGGTGTCTCATGCAGCACTATCAAAGGTCAGTGGTTGGTGCTTGTGCCTCACAGTAAGAAGGTCCTGGGTTCGATTTGGAAAAGTCAGAGACAGAGATCAAACATATACACACTTATACTGTACACACTGCTATATATCCTGGCTAGCTGTAAATGCTCTACGTATAAGATAGAGACGTATATATATTGATACATCTCTGTCTGTAAATGCAGTTTGATCCCATTCCAGTCTGTTTATGTTTCTGTGATTGACATTGATCGTTTTCCACATTTCTTCGTCTGTAAATCCAGGAGCAGGTGTCGTCCGTCGGGGCAGATGAAAGCCCGGGATGGTGTCTGCGATAGGACGGAGATGGGAGCGCTGATACCACCTTCAGAGACCCAGACCTTTACTGCGGGATCACACACGCTCTCCCATAATCCTCCAGGCTGCGGGAGGCTCAGCCGGCCATCTGCCCCGGTGTCAGGTCCACCCGGGACAAAGACCCTGATCCTGCTGTGGAGGAAACAAGATGGAGGCTCTGCAGAGAGACGGGGAAGACCAGATGTTCTGATAAATGTTAGCTCTGTCTGATTTTATCGTTTAAGATTTATGTTTTCCCTGGGTCTACAGTCTCAGTCCTGGGTCTACAGTCTCAGTCCTGGGTCTACAGCCTCAGTCCTGGGTCTACAGTCTCAGTCCTGGGTCTACAGCCTCAGTCCTGGGTCTACAGCCTCAGTCCTGGGTCTACATCCTCAGTCCTGGGTCTACAGCCTCAGACCTGGATCTACAGCCTCAGTTCTGGGTCTACATCCTCAGTCCTGGGTCTACAGCCTCATTCCTGGGTCTACATCCTCAGTCCTGGGTCTACAGCCTCAGTCCTGGGTCTACATCCTCAGTCCTGGGTCTACAGCCTCAGTCCTGGGTCTACAGCCTCCGTGGACAGTGGTTTTGAAAGGCTCCGTGGACAGTTTTTCTGAAACGCTCCGTGGACAGTGGTTCTGAAACGCTCCGTGGACAGTGGTTCTGAAACGCTCCGTGGACAGTGGTTCTGAAACGCTCCGTGGACAGTGGTTCTGAAACACTCCGTGGACAGTTTTTCTGAAACGCTCCGTGGACAGTGGTTCTGAATCGCTCTGTGGACAGTGGTTCTGAAACGCTCCGTGGACAGTGGTTCTGAAACGCTCCGTGGACAGTGGTTCTGAATAGCTCCGTGGACAGTGGTTCCGAAACGCTCCGTGGACAGTGGTTCTGAAACGCTCCGTGGACAGTGGTTCTGAAACGCTCCATGGACAGTGGTTCTGAAAGGCTCCGTGGACAGTTTTTCTGAATGGCTCCGTGGACAGTGGTTCTGAAACGCACCGTGGACAGTGGTTCTGAATGGCTCCGTGGACAGTGGTTCTAAATCGCTCTGTGGACAGTGGTTCTGAAACGCTCCGTGGACAGTGGTTCTGAAAGGCTCCGTGGACAGTGGTTCTGAATAGCTCCGTGGACAGTTTTTCTGAATGGCTCCGTGGACAGTGGTTCTGAAACGCTCCGTGGACAGTTTTTCTGAATGGCTCCGTGGACAGTGGTTCTGAATCGCTCCGTGGACAGTGGTTCTGAATAGCTCCGTGGACAGTGGTTCCGAAACGCTCCGTGGACAGTGGTTCTGAAACGCTCCGTGGACAGTGGTTCTGAAACGCTCCATGGACAGTGGTTCTGAAAGGCTCCGTGGACAGTTTTTCTGAATGGCTCCGTGGACAGTGGTTCTGAAACGCACCGTGGACAGTGGTTCTGAATGGCTCCGTGGCCAGTGGTTCTAAATCGCTCTGTGGACAGTGGTTCTGAAACGCTCCGTGGACAGTGGTTCTGAAAGGCTCCGTGGACAGTGGTTCTGAATAGCTCCATGGACAGTTTTTCTGAATGGCTCCGTGGACAGTTTTTCTGAATGGCTCCGTGGACAGTGGTTCTGAATCGCTCTGTGGACAGTGGTTCTGAAACGCTCCGTGGACAGTCGTTCTGAAACGCCCCGTGGACAGTGGTTCTGAATGGCTCCCTGGACAGTGGTTCTGAATGGCACCGTGGACAGTGGTTCTGAAACGCTCCGTGGACAGTGGTTCTGAATGGCTCCGTGGACAGTGGCTCTGAATCACTCCGTGGACAGTGGTTCTGAAACGCTCCGTGGACAGTGGTTCTGAATGGCTCCGTGGACAGTGGTTCTGAAATGCTCCGTGGACAGTGGTTCTGAAACGCACCGTGGACAGTGGTTCTGAAACGCTCCGTGGACAGTGGTCCTGAAACGCTCCGTGGACAGTGGTTCTGAAACGCTCCGTGGACAGTGGTTCTGAAACGCTCCGTAAACAGTGGTTCTGAATAGCTCCGTGGACAGTGGTTCTGAAACGCTCCGTGGACAGTGGTCCTGAAACGCTCCGTGGACAGTGGTTCTGAAACGCTCCGTGGACAGTGGTTCTGAATGGCTCCATGGACAGTGGTTCTGAAACGCTCCGTGGACAGTGGTTCTGAAACGCTCCGTGGACAGTGGTTCTGAATAGCTCCGTAAACAGTGGTTCTGAATAGCTCCGTGGACAGTGGTTCTGAAACGCTCCGTGGACAGTGGTCCTGAAACGCTCCGTGGACAGTGGTTCTGAATCGCTCCGTGGACAGTGGTTCTGAATGGCTCCATGGACAGTGGTTCTGAAACGCTCCGTGGACAGTGGTTCTGAAACGCTCCGTGGACAGTGGTTCTGAATAGCTCCGTAAACAGTGGTTCTGAATAGCTCCGTGGACAGTGGTTCTGAAACGCTCCGTGGACAGTGGTCCTGAAACGCTCCGTGGACAGTGGTTCTGAAACGCTCCGTGGACAGTGGTTCTGAATGGCTCCATGGACAGTGGTTCTGAAACGCTCCGTGGACAGTGGTTCTGAAACGCTCCATGGACAGTGGTTCTGAACGGCCCCAGGGACAGATCCGTGTGCGGCGCAGGACTGAGCGGCTGCAGCTTTGTGCCAAACACTAAATCAATAACCGCTTTCTGAGCCCGACCCCGCGGGCTCAGATCCATACGGGAGAGAGAGGACTCCGGCTAAAAGATGCATGAAGGCAGCTCTGCAGACCGCGGATTAGAGAGAAGAGCGTTGGCATCGTAATGACATCCTCCACAGCCCACTGTCAAGCTGTACAACGAACACGGGACTGGAACGATCACCGAGCTGTACTTACGAGCTAACACAGGAGAGTTTTAATCATTGTGCAGACCTCGGGTGAAAAGGACCAGCCACAGATGAGTCAAAGTAGAAGTGAAAAAGGCCAGCCTCAGTCCTGGGTCTACAGCCTCAGTCCTGGGTCTACAGCCTCAGTCCTGGGTCTACAGCCTCAGTCCTGGGTCTACAGCCTCAGTCCTGGGTCTACAGCCTCAGTCCTGGGTCCACAGCCTCAGTCCTGGATCTACAGCTTCAGTCCTGGGTCTACAGCTTCAGTCCTGGGTCTACAGCCTCAATCCTGGGTCTACAGCTTCAGTCCTGGGTCTACAGCCTCAGTCCTGGGTCTACAGCTTCAGTCCTGGGTCTACAGCCTCAGTCCTGGGTCTACAGCCTCAGTCCTGGGTCTACAGGTTCAGTCCTGGGTCTACAGCCTCAGTCCTGGGTCTACAGCCTCAGTCCTGGGTCTACAGCTTCAGTCCTGGGTCTACAGCCTCAGTCCTGGATCTACAGCTTCAGTCCTGGGTCTACAGCCTCAGTCCTGGATCTACAGCCTCAGTCCTGGATCTACAGCCTCAGTCCTGGGTCTACAGCCTCAGTCCTGGGTCTACAGCCTCAGTCCTGGATCTACAGCCTCAGTCCTGGGTCTACAGCCTCAGTCCTGGGTCTACAGCTTCAGTCCTGGGTCCACAGCCTCAGTCCTGGGTCTACAGCCTCAGTCCTGGGTCTACAGCTTCAGTCTTGGGTCCACAGCCTCAGTCCTGGGTCTACAGCCTCAGTCCTGGGTCTACAGCCTCAGTCCTGGGTCTACAGTCGCTTTTTTCCCTCATGGTGGTTCCTTGTCTGTGCTGCAGGGTCAAAGGACAGTCATTATGCGCCACATCTAAGTACATTCATGAACAAATAAATGTTTTTGTAAACACACACGCACGCACGCACGCACACACACACACACACACACACACACACACACCAGTGATGGGAATAACGGCGTTACTTTTTCAGTAACGAGTAATCTAACTAATTACTTTGACAGTAACTATAACGCCGTTATCATTTCCGACATCCCGTTACTGCGCGTTACTCAAGAAGCACAATGAACTTCTCTTTTTACTTCGTGATAGGACTCGTGCGCGTGTTGTCATGAGAGAAGGGAGGATGAGAAAACCTCTCAGCAATTATTGGCTGATATAAATCATATTTCCTTTACAATCCACATGTCTACAGTTGAGAGGATGGCTCATAAATTGTGTTTTTGAAACAAATATGGGTCTTAATCGCGCTCAACCACGGCTTGTATCACCGTGAGGCCTCAGGGGGGCGCATGTGAGCGCAGACGTCGGCTGCATACAATTCCATCGATAAGCTCCTTGCTCTTCCTGGTTTATCTGCTAAGGACAGCAACAGGTTTGGCTAACATACATATAACACATTTTTACATAAACTAAAATGCACTTAGGGTAATTTTTCAATTACTATAGGAATGATCAGAAAGAGAGGTGAAGTGTAAGACGGTTGATTTTAGAAATTGGATGCACTCGGCTGCCGCTAGCAAAACACAGGAGTTTATGGAGGAGACACGCGTTTTGTTTTACTTTTTAAAACTCATTGGACTCATTTCCAAATGGAGGATTACATATCTACGCTCAAACCATTAACTGGTTTTAAACAAGGAACTGGTCTGAACCGAAGTGGCCTGTGCAGGTCATTTATAAGGTATAGCTATAGGTAAGACCCATGACTCATAGTTTTGCGTTTTGTATGAACAAACAATGCGGGCATAAAACATATTTTGCTGTAGCCAAACAAATTGTCCACTTGATTTATATGATATATATGTTCATCTGATTGGACTGAAGTCAGTGCGTCACCGGTGTTTCCACATTCACAGTGGAGCGTGTTGGTGTTTAGTGCTTACAGCACAGAGAGAGATGAAGAGTGAACAGGACTTCAGCGACAAAACAGCCTTTTCTAGATGGAAATATTGGCACTGTTTCAGACTCACTGAGGTTAAAGGTAAAACTGCGCACGTCGGGTGCACATTATGTTCCAGAACTAAACGAAAAAGTAACGCAATAGTTACTTTTACTGGTAACTAGTTACTTTTATAGTGGAGTAACTCCGTTAGTAACTCAGTTACTTTTTGGGAGAAGTAACTAGTAACTATAACTAATTACTTTTTCAAAGTAACGTGCCCAACACTGATTCCGAGTACCGAGTGAAGTACCGAGTTTATGAGTTTTTGAAGTATTGAGTTATGATGTTATGTTGCTGTTTATCGATCCTGATGGTCACACGTGAATGTATGACCAGAGGGGGGAATATGAGATTTCATAACACTTTGAAGCAACTTTTGTTAAGGTTAAACTCATCATTCTATCAATGTGCAGAAGCCAGTACTTTTCCCTTGTTTTGTCTATCTGAAGGCCAAGCTACAAGCACACCGTGGAAGCTGCTGATTGGAGGTCTCCATGCCTCCGCTCTGTATAATACACTTGCATTCTATTGTTTCTGTGATCGTGTGCTTTGTTCGTGCTGTCTCTACCATCGACAATAAAACATGTCTTCTGTCTGAATTAACCCTCTGGGGTCTAGAGCGTCGGATCCGACTCCTGCGCACATGTTTTATAAATGTTCAATTTTCTCATGAACGGCAAAACGTAGCGACTTACTTTTTTTTTCTCCGTGAAGTACACATTTCAGGCATTACAGCGCTAGTTTTGTTTTGTCTGTGTGACTTTTGGGGAATTTTCTACGTGTGTTTGAAAGTTGGTGTCCAATCGGATCTTCGAGCGGTCTCCCGTGAGGTAAAACAGCCAAAACAGTAAAGTTATTTTGCTTACACGCTGACACAGGGACTGCCAAAGATTGTCAGAGAGTAGGATGATTCACTCTCCTGTGTGTATTTATTGTCCCATAGTTGAAATTACAGCTGCGATTGCAATTACTGATGCGTAAAAGACGCATTATTTTAGCGGAATGTTACGAAAATGCGTCCCCGACACAGCTAATGTAGCTTTGTATCACTGATCTACGTGATCTACGAGTGATGTGTGTGTTCAGAGTCTGGGCTTGAAAGTGCATTACACAAAGATAGGAGGAGACGCAGATGCAGCGCTCACAAGAGCCAGCACCTGCCTGAAGAGTGCGCATTATTGATGTATTTATATTATATATTTATTATTGACATTGATAAATACATTATAATGATATGATGTATATGAATATAAGATGTTGTTTTTCTTTCTTTGTTTTCTTAGTTTTTTTTGTTTTACATATCTTACAGCTGTGATACTGAAGCAATATATAGACATAGACAAACTGCTTCAGGAAGGGCATCAGGAGTACAGCGTTTTTTTCACTTGTAGTGGAATTTTGTAAAAATTATAATAGTCACAGGTTCAATTTTTTTCCCCATCAACCCCAAGACCCTAAATAACATTTCTATACAGTGTAAAAAGTTAGCAATAGCATTTCATTGTGTTTTTCAAAACATTTTGGTGAAATTTAATTTCCGTTTCATTTTTTTCTTTGTCTTCATGATTCCATATTTTTTATATAATTCATATGACAGCTGTACACTATGAATATTATAAATCCACAGGTTGTACTGAAAAAAACAAAGTTTACTGCTTGACTCTGCATCACAAGATGACTGTTTTATGAGCAATTATACACAAAGAAAACCAGGCGAGGAAAGTTCCCCAAAATGAGCTTAGACCTTGAAGGGTTAAAGACGCGATCCCAGACTTTGTCATCTTCTTCAGTGCCAATGTTGAGATGGTTGATAACTTCAAATACCTTGGCACGTACATACAGTAGATGGGAGACTTGCCTTTTGTGAGAACACAGACTTCATTTTCAAGAAATGCTCACAACGACTGTATCTGCTTCGCAAACCAAATAATTTTGGTGTGAGTCGTTCTATCCTTGAGACGGTCTACAAGAGCCTGTTGGAGAGCATCCTCACTTTTATCATGCTGATGTGGTTTGGCAACCTCAGCATGAAGAACCAAAACAAACTCCAAAGGATCGTGAACCAGAGCTCGAAGATCATTGGGCAGCCACAAAGATCTCTCCACTGTTTGTTCGAGGAGGAAGGCTGAGCTCATCATCAATGATGCTTCCCATCCGCTAAACTGAAAGTTTGAACTTTTGCCGTCAGAATGGAGATATTGAGGTATATCAGCCAAGAAAAACATTTTTTAAAACTCCTTTGTGCCCAGAGCAGTGAAAGCGGCAAACACTCTTAAGCTTTGAGAAGTCCGGAGGTCCACTCTTGTCGTTAGGCCGGATCAGGCCTTGTTGGGGATTCTGTTTCCAGTTAGTTCTTCCAATTGTACTGTGAATGTAGTGCCACATGATATTTTGCTGGATGTGTGTCTTTTACATGTACAGTATGTATTTTAACTGAGGAGCTGAGGAGCTCCTTCAGTGGAAGACTGAGGCACCCTCAGTGTAGGAAGGAGCGCTACCGCAGGGCCTTTATCCCCACCGCTGTCAGACTGTACAATGAGTCACTTTAAATGATCACTGTGTGAAAACCTGCACTACTATTGACACTGTTTCAAATTGACACTTGTCACTTTTGTTGTACATAATTATTGTCACTTTATTGTACATATATCCTGCATGTAACATGTTTGCACATTTCCTCCTTTTGCACAATCTGAGTGTTCTATCCATGCCAAATGTGACATGTAAATTTCTCCTATGTGAGATAAATAAAGAATCTTA